CAGATCTAACTCCTCTTGATTATTATCTATGGGGATATCTGAAGAGTAAGGTTTACAGAACAAAACCTAAAACCATTCACGAATTGATACAGCGAATAAGGGATGAAATGGCTTTGATACCTTTTGAAACGAATCGTAAAGTCATTTCTACATTCTACCAAAGATTAGCATATTGTCAGGAAGTAAATGGCAGCCACTTTCAGCATTTACTTTAACACATTGAAACACATTTGCAATCGTTTGGTGCAACCTAACCTGATCTCTGTATACACGCACCGTACGCACGCACACGCACACATTTCGAACAATTATTATGATAAATGAGCATCCACAAATTTATTTACTGTTTACTATGTCGATTGCTTTCCAGGTTCTTTAAATGCTCGATTGTAATTTGGTTGGGTCTTTGCTTTTGCTGACTGGATCCACGACCGATCTTGCCTTAGTTAGCTGGATCACACACACAACAGATGCAAATCCGAGCGAGTAACCTCCATGTAGTACACCTTGGATAATGTTAATACCGGCGCTACTCTATCATTCAACCCTCATAACTCGCAAAGTACTTAATAAAAATGAACATTATTATAGTGTTTTGGAAAGCTCTTGAATTAAGCTATAAGAATATGCAATCAAATGTAGGGGGTGTCATTTAAAAAAGTCAATGTGACCTTGACCTGACCTTGACGACGCCATCCAAGGTCAAACTGATAGAATCAGTATATAGATCTTCTTAAACCCTACAACTTTTGTTGGAAACACTTTTCTGTAAAACGTATATTTTCCGAGATATTTAGGGGTTTCCACACTTTTGGTAGACCCTGTATATATATTATATTATTATATGAATCGCTCCCTATTTATGATTTCTTTTATTATGAAATCTTAGCTTACGTATGTAATAACCAACGTTATCTTGCATTTCATAGAGATCTCTGAACAACGATTAAAGTTCTACATTTACAATGCAAAGTTTGACTTAGAAAAAGCCAAGAAACGCTTGGATTTGCATTGACACTTCGCAATCTGATAATAAAATCGCAATAAAAAATAGGGGTTCCCATTTAAGATTTCTAACTTGCCCCCCCTCACCGTCCAGGGGGAGGGGTGGGGGGGCTGATTTTAACGTCATTGTACGTCCCCCTCGAAATGACGAAATTTTGATTCTAACCATTTTTTCGTAGTGTGCTTATTTTTCGAGTTTCTGTATTTGGCTGCCTAAGTTAAAATGGGTCACCCTGTATAATAAAAAGAGACATATAAAAAAGATGACACGTACACAAACACAATAATCAATAATGATGAAAAGAAGAAGAAAGAAAAAAGTGAGCTGTATGCAACATTTTACAAGTTTTTTATATTGTTATGATTCACAGAGATTAGATAATTCTGTAGTTTTTATTAAACGAAGCAACTCGGGAGGAATTATCTTTAAGAGATTTGATAGACATAATTGATATAATTAAACTAAATATAATTGATTGTTATACATGTATATAAACATAAATGTTATGCATGCAAATCAATGGAAACACACTATTTTTTTAATATTACAAGTATTTCACTATGATAATCGAGACGCGTATAGAGATATAGTTAATTCCGATGTTATCATTTGGGATTGTGCTAATTTAACTTTGGATTATATAATGAAGTATACACCAGTTATAGTAAAAAAACTCGACGCTATTCTGGTATTTAAAAATAAAAATTATTTCTTATATATATATAATATACAGTCTCTCTTAATAAGTGCGAAAAATTTTAGGAGATGATTCTTTGCCGAAAATATTAAGGGGAGTTTTCATACAAACATATACTCCTACATCCCTTTCTGTGGAGTTACACTCCTCCAAAAATGGGAGTAAAAATCAGGTTTTTAGGTTTTTATTATAATTTTGTTTTTGTTCCAATTTTCCCAACATTTATTCTAATTTTATTTTTATTTTAAAATTTAACTTTAATTTTCGACAAAGAATCATCTCCTAAAATTTTTCATATTTATTAAGAAACACCCTATATACTTTGTAAAAATTAATTTTTATTATTTAATCTATTTACAAGAAGCATACGGCACAAGAATCAAAGCCATTCATATGATAAATCCACCAAGTTTTATTGATGTCTTCACAACATTGATTAAATCAGTGATGAAGGCAAAACTAATTAATCGTGTATGTTGTGATATAAATATAATATAAATTAAATATACGATATTTTTAAAACGAAAAATATGATTATAAATTAAACTACGAATTTTTATATTTCATATTTTATATTTTATATTTCATATTAATAATTATACAGTTTTAATTGCTGCTATAATATTTTAGATGTATGTTTATACGGCTGGAATAGAGTCATTAAGCGGAATTATACAAAATCTCGTTTACCAGAAGATTATGGCGGTGAGCTATCATCAATGAATATTTTATCAGGTACAATATTTTTTACAAAAAAAATATATGTGTTTTTATCAATGACTTTATTTAGATTTTTAATATTTAAGGCGAAATATTAAAAATAAATAATAATATTTTCACTTAAATACTTATTTATATGCAATAAAAAATTTTATTTCTTTAATTATCATGTATTGTAACGATAATTATTTATTTTTCACAGCTCTTTTAATTAATTATATATTATATATATATTTACAATATTTTTTTTATACAAATGAATATTTTCAATATATATTTGGAATGTAAAAAACATATTTAAGATTGTCGAAATTTTTTATATTGCTTTAGATATGTAGAAAGCAAAATTGATGGAACGAAGAGAATGGTTTATGGAGCAAGAAGAAGTTAAAGTTAACGAATCTCTCCGAACAAATCCTCTAAAACTTCCGAACGATTTATTCGGAGTTTCGGGAACATTTCGAAAATTGGACATTGACTAATATAAATATGTTTTTAAAGATATATAGAAAATAAGATTTATGGATACATGCACACATATAAATAATTATATGTAATGTAAGGAATTTTCAAAAATATTAATATCCATAAAATAAAATAATTTTTACAATATATTAACATTATACGTAGAACACAAAACTTATAACATACAGTATGATAACATAACAGTAGATTATTTAAGCATTAATAAATGATAAATATATGTCAAATTACACATAAAAAATGCACTGAAAAGGGTACAATTGCATAGTAAAACAGTTATCGTTGAGATTTCTATTTTTATAGTTATAATGTTGATAATAATAACCTTGTATGTAATAATAATAACTGTAAGTATAATTGCCGTTAAAAATAACTGTATATTTATGATAATTACAACTATTCTTATTTATTTTCTTTCACTAGCGTAATGTTACAAAACATATTTATAATATATTCTAGATACAAGACGCATTTATAGTTTTTTATAAATATTACAAGTCGACATAATAAAAAATTAAAATTCATAAAATTAATTCATTGAAAAGTATTGTTATAAAAATCAAATAAAAAAACAATATCAACATCTTTGATACGGTAATTTAATTACGAGACATATTATTAAGAGGATAATTAAACATCAGAAAAAGAAAAAAATTGCTTATTGGTAATATTAATAGCAAAATTCAAATGATGTTACATTATATTATCTCTTATATAATAGCATTATCGTAGTATATAAAGCATATAGTATAGCATATCGTAGTTATATAAATACTATATAAATATTATATAAATTATGTTATAAATATATAATATTTTATATAATATTACATAAAAATATAAATATAAATATATAAAATATATTAAATATTATATAAATATTATTGTAAAATATTATTAGGTGTACAACTTTGCTTCCGCCATTTTTTTGTAGATCGCTTTAGCGGTAGGTGGTGGTCGAAATAAATAGATCATAGATGTCATACGATATACTTGGACATCTGTCAACATAACCCCATAGAAACATTAGTCGATTTGTGTCTCCATCATAAAATTATTCTCAATTGAAAATGTCTGTGTACGAGCCAAATTCTCGTCATTTGCGGGAGGTTTTAATTTTCTGCTTCAATATGAAGAAATCTGCGGCTGAGGCTCATCGAATGCTCTCAGATACTTATGGTGAGGCTTCTATTAGTGAAAGAACGTGTCGTGAGTGGTTTCAACACTTCAAGAACAGTGATTTTGACGTCGAAGACCGGCATAGCGGTGGAAGAAAGAAGATTGTATTAAGCTGTTAAAACCGACTGAAACAATCATAGGCAATCGGTATCGAACGCAATTGATGCGTTTGAGCCGAGCATTGAAAGACAAACGGCCGCAATACAACGAGAGACACGATAAAGTGATTTTGCAGCATGACAATGCTCGACCCCATGTTACGAAAGTGGTCAAGATATACTTGAAAACGTTGAAATGGGAAGTCCTACCCCACCCGCTGTATTGTCCAGACGTTGCTCCCTCTGACTATCACTTGTTTCGATCAATGGTACACGGCCTGGCTGATCAGCACTTCCAGTCTTATGAAGAAGTAAAAAATTGGATCGCCTCAAAATATGATCAGTTTTTTCGACGCAGGATTCATACGCTGCCCGAAAGATGAGAGAAAGTAGTGGCCAGCGATGGACAATACTTTGAATCATAAATGTATAACTAGTTTTTTACAATAAAGCCTCGAATTTCGGAAAAAAAACGGCGGAAGCAAAGTTATACACCTAATATTATTCTGAATTATTATTATTATCATCTCATTATATTATGAATTAAATTGTGAAAGCTTAATATATAAAATTAATATATTCAGTGGACGAAAAAATTATTGTACTTTATTTTAACACATTTATTTGTATTTGGACATTATAATAGATACATATATACATATGTATAAAATTATTTATGGAAGATATCGTATATATCTCCGTTTAAATTTTCGAATGTATCACAAATATCCTTTAATAACAGTATCACCTGGATAATTATAATTAAAAGTTACGAAACAATAAGCGTCAAAATAATTTTATTTAATTATTTGCGAGATTGTCATTTATATGTATATAACGTTTAGTGGTTTTTTTCAACTAGGCGATCTTTTATTTCGAAGGAGCGAATCCCACTCGGTTATTTCCCATATCGAATACAGTATAGAAATGACCGATAAATACATCGCCCAGAATCCAGCCCGATAAATAAGATCCTTGAAAACCGCTGTAACATATCGCGACGCCATCTTCTGTGTCCTGTAAAAAAAACTAAACATAATGATCACTTCCTATTCTTAAATAATTTAAACGGAAATTATCGATTCATAAAACTCACTCGAATAATATAATCGTGAGGGGTAAGATTGTGTGGCTTACCACTCAAAATAAAATTAATCGTAGGCAACTCATTAATCTTATCACAATCCACCTTTGAACAATAGAGGATATTAAATCACTAATTAATAATTTAACAAATATATTCAGCCACATTTTATAATTTTTTATGGAAGGCTATGTCAGTGAGAAAAATTCTTACTTACGTTTCCATCATTATCACTAATATTTTGAATGTATCCATTAATAACATCGATGTCCTCAGATGGCCCAACTATTAGTGAAGTACCTGTGTCAGCAATTGCTTGGCAGCCTTGTGCACACAAGATATAATTACCTGCTATGACACTATGGAATAACAATAACGTTATAATAATTTGTTGCAAACATGATCAATTTATTAAAAAATCGTAATTTCGAAAATGTACCTATCCATTGTAAATTGCCAGTAGCCTTCTACAGTAACGGGGACATATGTGAATTCACCAACATAATGATTGGGATCGCAACCACCCAATATCAATTCACCACCTTCCTCGGCTGAAGGGTTTCTGCATATATAAGTTTCTTAATAAGTACGGAAAATTTTAGGAAATTTTTTGTTAAAAATTAAGGGGGTTTTTATATAAATATATACTCCTGCATCCCCCCCTATGAAGTTACACTCCTTCAAAAATAGGGATAAAAATTAGATTTTTATTTTTCAGGTTTTTAAGTTTTTATTATAATTTTGTTTTTGTTCCAATTTTTCCAACGTTTACTCTAATTTTATTTTTATTTTAAAATTTAACTTCTCGTAATTTGAAGCCTATGCTATTTAGCATCGTGCTGTGCACGATAACGTATTTTATTTTTTTTTCTTGGAAACTACTGATTTTATGAAAAAAATAAAACAAATAAAAAAGTTTCTAAATAAATCAAACTTTTTAATGCATATTGTTAGATCATATTCCGGCCCATTAAAAAGTCCTAATAAAATATTGAATAGGAGTTGCTAGTTTCATTCCTTTATAACAATACGGGAGGTTAAAGAAAATATTAATAAATAACCATTTTACCAGTAGAAAATATCCACTTAATTTTTTTTCTTTAACTGGTTTCAAATTTGAGGAAAAAATAAAAACCTAATTTTTATCCCCATTTTTGAAGAAATATCCTTCCACAGGGAGGAATGTAAGAATATATGTTTACATGAAAAACCCCCCTTAATTTTCGACAAAAAATCATTTTCTAAAACTTTTCGCACTTATTAAGAAACACTCTGCATATTGTATATTTTATAGATCATAATCTATATATTTTTTTATTACAAAATATTTTTAAACATGCACCTGTACGTATGAAAAGAAGATACAAACCGATTTAGATAGAAGCTGAAAATTGGTTGTGATACTAAACGTTGTTGAATCATGTTTTGGAAGATAGGCGTCACTCCGTCCACGGATATCGTGGGATAACCCATGCCCAAGATACCGTCAAATTGCATAAGAATGAATATACTTGATTCGTGAGTCGCTTCGGCGAATGTTTGATTTCGAACATTAAGACCAGCAACCTAAAGAAATTCGTATTAATGACAAAATATGATGATGTAAGAATAAGAATAATATAAAAATATTTGGAAAATGTCTAATAAACTGTGACTAACTAATAATTGTGACTGTATTGAATTGTTTAATGCTGACTCACGTTTACCACATCAGTAGATAAGAATCCAGATAGATCGCCACTGCCATACTCGATAGCAAATGGAGCACTATTTGCTTGATATGTAATAGATTTGCTATTGTTATATTTATGATGGTAAGGAGCAGTCCAACAAGAAAGTTTATAGAAGGTGACTATAAAGAATAATATCACAAGTCAAGGATAGCTTAAAAATAAAGAGATTTTCTTATTCACCTAAATATTCGTTTGAATTATTAGACATAAATATTATACATTTATCGCTTTTGAGTTTCTCGAAACTCACTTGTACCTTAAAACAATAAAAATAATAAATTGTTGAAATAAATCTATGCATGTACAAAGTTACATTGTAAAGTTTAATTTTGTTATATTTACAATTAATTATTTTAATTGCATTTGTGCATCTCCTTTATACTAAAGATTACAAGATATATTATAAAAGATTATTTTAAAAATATAACTAGGAAGAGATACAGAATTTTATAACATTTATAATATTTACTTTGATTTGATATTATTATATAATTATTATATAATTATATAATTATTCGAAAAGACTAAGATTTTCTTCAATATTTTTAAATAGCAATTAAGTATAATAGCGATATTTCTTGATGAAAAAATGTCGAAAATTTATAATTTTTATCTGCTTAAAATAAGAAAGAAATTATAAAATAGAATTGTTCCTGTTCGCATTTTGTTAGATAAATATATATTCGTGAGCTGCGTATTTCAATAAATATTAATATTTGTACCTATGTTTATAAGTACAAATTAAGGGATCATGCCTAGTCATAAAAGTAAAAAATAATGATTTTTATGTTTTTGCATTTCCTTGAAGTATATTATATTCAAAATATTTCCTAAAATTTCAAATTAATCAGATGCAAATTGACAAAGTTATAAGTGTGTTTCATGAAGCGCCAGAATGTATAACTTCGTTTAAGCACGCCTAAAGCTTTAACTCTGATGTTTTGAGGGCTATCAAGTCAATATATAAAATTTATAAATAAATAAATTAAAATTATATGAGCCCGGAATAGGTGATTGTGTGTAAATTAAAAAATCTGCATTTTATTTAGATGTAAACTTGACACAAATCTTAAACGCGTTTTTCTCGAAATTACTTTTGCAAAATTGGAGAGCAAGATATTTCGAAAATCGGTACACCGATTTATTTGAAATTTTATAGGCTTCTTTTACATATAAAAACCTGGTGGATGAACGAAGAATTTTGTTTTTTAATGAATACTTTTTTTCTTTAATAAAAAATGAGCAATTTTTAAGTCAAAAAAAAATATCTTAGAATCAAATGGTTGTTATTTTGCCCCAAAACAATTTTTCGATTAATTCTTCTTTTATCTACTGGACAATTTTATACAATAACTACAGTTTATCGAATTTTTGATATCAGATGAATCAGCTTCGAATAACACTGCTTACTTCGCTGCGCTTTTTAAAAAGCAATATCCAGAAGAATAGTTATAACTTTTACATTTTTTAATATTTTATTTAAAAAATATATATAATAACATCTTTAATCTTTGTACTTTTAAATAAAAATTAATTTGTAAAAGAAAAAATTATTACAAAAGAAATTCCCAAACATCATAATTTTTTCGGTCTGCTGACTAGGCATAAGCCCTTAATTATTATCTTGCATATATATTAAATAAATATTTACATGTACAAATATCAGTATAAATGTCACTTTCGCTTTTTATCGATGGTACCCAAAGATTTGAGGAACCGGTATCAAATAATACTGTAAAGTTCTGTGGCGGGGTTCCGATGCTGATAACACCATAATATTGAGCATCCAAATATTTAAACAAAGATTCTGATGTCAAGTCAATACCAACTTTCTTCAAAGTTTTCCGAACAGAATCCGTCTTTTGCAATAAAACCCTTAAAGTAATACAAAAAACATTTTTTCGTTACACGCATATATTCTTATATGCATAAACATATTTAATGTGTAGTTATATTTTTACCGATATACAAAGAATGGACATTTTAACAAATAGTTATGAAATGATTATATACAATACAATGATTATATTCAAATGATTATATTCAATTTTATGAAAATTAAAAATTGTAAAAATTAAATTAATTATTTATGCTAGATAAAAATTAAGTTAATTATTTATGCTAGATAAAAATTAAATTAATTATTTATGCTAGATAAAAATTAAATTAATTATTTATGCTAGATAAAAATTAAATTAATTATATATGCTAGATAAAAATTAAATTAATTATTTATGCTAGATAAAAATTAAATTAATTATTTATGCTAGATAAAAATTAAATTAATTATTTATGCTAGATAAAAATTAAATTAATTATTTATGCTAGAAATAATAAACATAGAAAGATCATAATATCAAATAAATAAAGAAGAAAAAAATAGGTCACTAATACATACAGTTCACCAGCTGACACAGCCAATTTATTACTAGCAGCACAATAAAAGTATCGCGATAAGCCAGACAAAAGCGTGAGGTTTGCAAATTTACAAAGAATGATTTTTTTTCATACATGCTTACTTTTACTTTTTTTATTAATGAAGAAACAATAAATTTTGTTTAATTTTGATTTACAGAAAAACACAATCACGTTTAGGCAAGATTTTTGATTTCAGAAAGTCAAATCACGTCATCTGTCACGAGATAGATCGATCTCTATAATTCAGCATTTATTGCACACGCATAATATAATGTATTAACTCATACCTTTGCGTTTTCGCGTCGATCAGCGCAAAAAGTGCCACAGCCACCATGAATAAGCGAAGCATGTTTCCGAAATTTCTGGCAAATTTCCTTCTTACGTTCTGTTATATAAAAAATAAATTGAACACGACTACTAGAACACCCGCGTTTATCGACGTGCGGCGTTATATATACGATCGTGCGCGTTCGAAGCACATCCGAGTTCCTATCTATCAATAAAATTTAAAGATATTTTGTTTAATATTTTTTTTATAATTATTATAGCACAAATTGTATTAAAATAAACTATTAAATGTGTGCGTGATTAATGAAGGAGTCATTAGCGTTTCGAAAGAATAGATTGTTTACATCGCAACAATGGACCAGAAAGAAGACTGAGAGGTAACTTATTTATTTATCAAATATTAAAAGTCAATAGGCAGAAAACTAAGCTAAGGAGAGAAGCTAAGAGACTCCAAAATAAATTAAGTTAATCAAGAAAGCCTAAATAGATATGTGGATGACATAGCATTGGCCCCTTCCGCTTTTTGCCAAAAAATTCTCCAGGTATTTAATTCATTTCATAAACGATTATAGTTTACTATCAAGATCGCGGATGAAAATACTCTTAATTTTTTGGATGTTTCTTTTACCATTAGCAATAATTTTATCGAATTTGACTGGTACCGTAAACCTACGTTTTCAGGGAGATTTTTCAATTTTTTTTCCTAATATCCGATTTCACATAAGAGAGGAGTTATCATTGGCTTGACTGACAGAGTGTTTTTTCTATCACATCCTAAATACCATGAAAAAAATTTTCTGTGTGTTATCCTTCTGTCCAACGATTATCCTTTTAAATTTATTTTCAATTCTATCATCCACAGATTACGAATGCTCATTTCTCAAAACTCTTTCCCTTACAGTTGTCCTACTAATTCCTCCTTCCCCTCCACTCCTCCTTCCTCTCATTTCTTTTTTATCATTCCCTATATATCAGGTATTTCTGATAAATTCCTTCCTGTTATCAATAGTCTGAACAAATCAGCAGCCTTTGCTGTGCGTAATAAATTAAATAACTTTATTAAATTACATAAAGATCCTTTACCTAAATTTAGTCATTCGAACATAGTCTATACAGGGTGAGGCATCTAAAACAGGCCACCTGAATAACTCCGTTGGTAAGCCGAATACAAAAAAATTGTTCAGACAAAAGTTGTATGGTTTCAAGGGGGACATATGATGGTGTCATTAGTTTAATCTTGAAGAGCCACCCGAAGGTCACGTGAAGGTCAGCTCCAACTTTTTAAATGGGACACCTTATATGCTTTTGCATATTCTTGTAGCTCATCTCAAGAGCTTCCCAAAACACTACAATTATGTTAGTTTTCATTGAGTACTTTCCAAGTTATGAGGCTTGAAATCATTTTTTAATTTTACATAAACCGTAAAATATCTTGTAAAATATTCATTTTTCGATTATTTTACCTTAATACTTTTATGTACAAAATAATGAGAGGAATCAATCGGTGTAAAGAAAACATACAGTTGTTTTTAACAAAAAATATGGAATTGTTAATTGCAAATTCCATATTTTTTCTTAGAAACAACTATGTGTTTTCTTTACACCAATTGATTTCTCTCATTATTTTGTACATAAAAGTATGAAGGTAAGATAATCGAAAAATGAATGGTTTACTAGATATTTTACGGTTTATGTAAAATTAAAAAATGATTTCAAGCCTCATAACTTGGAAAGTACTTGATGAAAACTAACTTAATTATAGTGTTTTGGAAAGCTCTTGAGATAAGCTACAAGAATATGCAAAAGCATATAAGGTGTCCCATTTAAAAAGTTGGAGCTGACCTTCACGTGATCTTCGGGTGGCTCTTCAAGATTAAACTAATGACACCATCATATGTCCCCCTTGAAACCATACAACTTTTGTCTGAACAATTTTTTTGTATTCGGCTTACCAACGGAGTTATTCAGGTGGCTTGTTTTAAATGCCTCACCCTGTATACGGTAAAAAACATTTTGTATTCCTGTTAAAATTTTATCGTGTTAAAATTTTTGTGTTAAATTTTTAACATACTCTTATGTTAATGTAACATTATTATTGCGTTATTTTGACATTTCTGCGATGAGTTAATATTCACCGTTTCTAAGAGTTAAAACAACACAATTAATATGTAAATGCACGAATTTTTGATGAAATATGTTATATGTTAAAATGAACAGATAAGTTATGTTATTTTTCTCTATATAACAATTTCCATATGTTAAATCGACATATCTCTTCTGTTATTTATCATAAAAATGTAAGAATAACGTTTTCTTTTAATTAAATTTAACATTATAAATATGTTAATTTAACATAAACTTTATTTTCAGATAAAGTTTAAGTGTTACACTTTTGTGTTAATTTTTAAACATATTACTTGTGTTATTTATTTACATACTTGCCTTCTGTTAAATTAACATTAAAATTAGAGTGGATAAATACATGTGAAATATGTTAAATTTAACACATAATTTTTTACTGTGTACAATTAAATGTAATAACTGTTCAGCGTCATATATAGACCAAATCAGTAGACAATTAATTACGAGGATCAAAGAACAAGGCCAATATCAATACACGTGCAGATTTATTATCAGTGATTTCTTCTCACAGACTTTCTGGTCATGAATTTAATTGGGATGATATCTTGATTTTGGACGAAGAACCTTCCTACAGAAGAAGATTATTTTCGGAAATGATGCATATTGCGTGTCAAGAAAATGGCATTAACGTTCAGACTGATACGGATCTCCTTGACAAATCCTATTTTCCAATTATCCACAAATTTTCTCAACCATAGAGTCCTGTCTCTTTCAAAAAATGTTTTCTTTCTGTCACTTCCTTCAGTTGTTTCGTTTTCTGTGTTCTTGCTATCCCTTCTTGGCATGTTTAGCCTCAGTCACCACAGATATGTCGGAGTCAGTTCGCTCTCTCTGAGTCCCTGTTATTTTTACTTTTCCGACTTTCTCACATATCATCTTTTATCTTTAGGTAATTTATTTTATTGTTTCTCACTTGCGCTTTTTTATTCTGCTTTTGTTTTATGATTTTTATGATTTTTATTAATTTATCTTTTTGTTTGTTGCTTGGTATTGTGTGTGATTTGGTCTTTTTGCGGCGCTGATTGCCTTTGTGTTTATCTTTACAGGACATTTTTTATTACGTTTTTATTTTTCTGGACATTTGTTTTTTCACCATATAAGATTTGGAGCTACAAATTTCGACTGTTATGCCTTCTCTCCATCATCTGTACACGCGTCTCTCACGTGTTTGCTCGTTTTACTTCCTTCTTTTTGCAACCATGCTCTTCGATATCATAGGTGAGGGACATGTCATTCCGTCGTTTTTTGCGAGAGTTAAATTTAGATTTTTATTTACAAATTATAATTATGCGTGAGTCTCATCATTCTTTCTGCGTTTTTTGTAACATACTAAAATAACCACCTGTTTTTGCTTGATTTGACTTTGCCCTATGTTTGCGATCTCTTTTGATATTTATTGTTATTATAATTGTGTGACATTGAAAATGATCCAGATCCGGATCGAAACGTTTGTCTTTCCTTAAATATAACTGTTAATTTGAAATTATTTGTTGTCATCATTTTTTTTCTTTGTTTTTGTTTTGCGTTACTGTTATCTTTGCGTTGTGGTTTTCTGTCTATTGACTTTTAATATTTGATTTATATCATACAACCATTTTTGAATTAATATTATTTATTTATTTATTTATTTATTTATTTATGTGTCTTCTTTTTTTCTCTTCTCTCAACTATTTATTTATTTATTTATTTAGCTTGCTATAGATCACTCTTTTAAAATGCAAAACTAAATATTATATAATTTGACTTCCGAAAAGCGCTATAAAACAATCGAATAAATAATTAACATAATGAAAGATTCCATGATACATCAACCGTTTAATAAATAATCGTTTAATAATTAAATTTTAAAATAAAATATACTTCCATAATTTAAAATTCCACGTACATATGTAATACGTAAAATATTTCGGCACAGAATTATCAGTATTAAAAATTAAATCAAAATTGGTACATAAGAGTACATAAGTTTTGTAATAATCCAATAATAAAAAAGAAAGAAGTATTGTTTCTTATCCGCGCTCCAACTACTGCGTTGTGGCTCTTATGCGCCAATTTCGATTTAATTTTTAATTTATATTTTTATTTTTAGAAATGTTTTGCTCGCATGATTAATAATACAATAATATCCTTCCTCTTCTCTTTTTTCTAGCTGATAGTCATAAATCAATGACGATTTATTCTATATATAGTAAGCGATCACGATTCATTCTATATATAATAAGCAGCGTGTAAAACGCAATTAGTATTTATATTGCTTTCGCGTGTTCTGCTTTATTTTCGATGACATATATCTCGATACTCCGAAAAATTCTTGAATTATCAATTTCCTTTAAATGCTTATTGAATTATTCATTGATAAAATGACGTTGATCGGGTTCATATATTTGTTGTCATTTTATCATCTTACAATTAGTACGGCCCCGATAAATGTAATCTCTGAGATAAATATGCTCATTAGGAGAATAACAGGGACTAATTGGAATCCGTCGAACATTGAATTCCATTTTGATTCCATTCTCGGCACGGTAAACGAAAATTTTCATTTATTGAAAAGAGAATCTTTAATAATTCGATTCTTTAATGTTGTTGAAAGTGATAAAAAATAATCTACTATTACTGGCCGCATTCTCTTATTCAAAACAAAATTGCATAATTCCGCAAAATTATATATTATAGTCTTTAAAGACACATAGAATAGTATTTTATATTTTTGTTGCTTTTAAAGAATTGATTTAATATTAAATTATTAATACTGCTCAATTAACATTAATTAAATTTCTTTTCTTTCTTTATTTTAAAATGTAAAATAACGTGAAATATGTCTGCATACCTATAACTATAAAAATAAATATATTATGCATTTCTTGTTGCTCAAATTTATTTCAAGTTCAAATCACATTTTCCTCTTTCTTACACAGTTTTTTTTTCAGCCGGAGATGATAAGAGAAGCGGGTTATCCTGTAGAAACTCACGTTATAACGACGGAAGATGGATA